GTGTGATAGGGCCACTGTTATCCAGCAGCCAGCTCCTGTGGCAAGGGGTGATAATGAAATCTAGGCTGGGTGCCCTGTTGCACAAAAAAGTCAGTGGTTGCTGCTTCAGAATAGAATTTTTTGTTTTTGTTTTATCATAGGAACTAGAGTTTTAACTGTTAATGCATATTTCCTAGCTCCTTGTGAAATTATGGAATGGTGAATTCTTGTTAGTATAGCAAGGTCATGTTTAAATTCTTGTTTTTCTTTTTGGGATTTTTGTCAATTTCTTTAAAGAGCCATGCAAAGGAAAAGTTGTTTTCGTTTAACTACATGTTGATGTCTCTTTTGTTTCTTTTTGTGTCAGCTAAATCAATTTCCATCGAGGACTCACTCTGGTCTACTTCTGATAAAACATTTGAGGAATGAATTGGTCCAGTTGTGTGTGCCGTGATAAGTTACTGCGACGACCTTATTCTTAGGTTGTATGTTATTCCGAGAAAGAATATTATTCTTTTATTGCTTACTATTTTCTAAGAAATCTTCTCAGTTGATCCTTTTGATATATATTTTAGATTATGCCAAGATATTGTGCTGGTAAAGTCCGAAGTTGCTGAACTTCTTTTCTCAGACGTTATTCTTAATATAGCTGGAAGTAAGGATTCAAATGTTGATCTGTGTAAAATAATCTCGCTCGAGGCAAGTTTCCCGCTTTTTTACACAATCTTATAAGTTTGAATCATTTTTGTGTCAGGTAACCAACTATGACATGATGCATCAGGATAATTACATTCAATTTTATTTCTTAGGATTATCGTAGCCTGAACAAATTCATGCGTGGTCCCATTTGAGATTGTTAAGTGAAATAGTCTTTCCTCACCTTTGTTATTAGTTATTATGTTTGATGAGGCATTGGTTGCTATTCTGCATCAACATCTCTAGGACTGTAACAGCTGTGGGCCTCTGGCATCACATGCATACTGAATTTCTTACAGATATTGGCCTCCCTTATTGTCTAACTACTAAGTATACATTTCTCAAAATAGTGTATGATATAGTTTGTTATAAAATGGTTCTCATTATTGGAATTGGATAGTGCAATCTACTACACCTGTATATTTTTGGTCAGTATTATTTCTGGGCGCTGGTTCAAAATTTATGGTTACTGATACCATATATCTTACAAAGTTCTAATTTATCAGGTTTTGTGTTTTCTTTCATTGTTTACAGGTACAAGAAAATGTATCGAGTCCCATGTGTTGACTAAAACCATTCAGGTGTTCTTGCATGCTCTAAATGAGCTTCGACTGTGTCATGTAATGGAAAGAACCAAGTCTTCAACTTCATTTCATAAGCAGAAGAGTTCCAAGGTAGAAGTGTTTCTGCGACCACTCTTTTTATGCAGTCCATTATAATTTCTAGGAATGGTTGATGTGATGAAGGAGAGCTTTTCATGAACTTAATCAAAATGGTTATTATTTTTTCCATATGTTATTATACACACACACACACACACACATCACACATATAAACAATCAGTAGAACTTCCCCAACAATCGTCAACCATGAAGTTGATGAACATTGAAGTCTGTTGCTCATTTTGTAGTCTCATGCTAACAATTGTAGGTAGAGTGCAAGTGTGCTTTATTGTTTGCTGATTGTCCTGACTCCTGACAAGTTCAATCTCAGTTTGTTAACATAGTGCAGATAAGTGCGAAGTCTTCGTGTATCTGTTTTCATGATGGTTTCATATAAATCGTGCATGGTAAATAATCTGAATTAAGACGAAAAAATGGATCTCATATTTAAGGTTGTAATATCCCAAGTAATATTCAAACAATAAACGCCAGGAGGAAGAAAAAAGTACAGGTTAAAGGCTTGTTTGTGGCTATGAAGATTTCCATATCTGGAACCCTCTGAAGAAAATATCCCAGCCCTAGATTAAAAGGTTAGCCTGACAGTATAAAAAATAAAAATAAATGAGTAAAATGGACACTAAAAATGGAGCGTACAGTTTCTGAACAATCCCGTGAGTACTCCATTGATCTTTTATTGAAAGTGTTATCTATTAATAATAGCAAATATAAGAATGCAAAAAAACATAAAGACCGTATGATCTTCATGAATCCAGCTTCACAACATCATAATTTTTTTAGTTAAATAATTGGAGTTGACCAGATTTATGTTTCACAGAATACTAAACTTAGTGGCTCAGGGATGAAGTCACGTTCTGCATCAGTGAAGGGAAAGGATATTGACACACCTTCTGGATTGGCAGCATCAACTCAATTAAATATAACTCAATTAAATTCGATAAATCTACTTTCTTATGATCCAATTAAATTATCATAAACACATGATGGAGACCTCAAGATTTTTACTTAACAAATTCCCCAAAACACTTAATATTAAAAAACATTTATGAGAAACAAGAAAATTAAACATACATGAATCATAATTTTCATGTTGTTCAATTATATAGCATGTGAGAATGAATGTACAACTAATTAACACAATATAACAAAACAAGAAAAACAAATCATGCAATAAAATTAACATAAAAGTAATAAAATAGCATTTAAATTAAATTCGCTATCTATAGTAGGGTGAGACTCTTGAATTTAGACTACTAGTAAAATAGGTATATTCCAAGAATCCCCAATATCTCAAATTATGGAAGAATCTTGGGTTACTAAAATTCCTCCACAATTTGATGTTGCCGCCCGCTGCCCGAGCCTCCTACCCGAGCCGTCTGGATGCCGCCTGACCCGCTGCAACCACCGCCAGGACGCCACCGCCTGCTGGATGTGCCTGGGCTGTGTCCGCTCGCCGTCTCCTGCCAGGCGTGGAACGGCCTAGCCCATCTCCTGGGTCTGGAACAGCCTGGCCTCCTGCGGCTGGGCAACGACCACTATGGTCGTTGCTCAGCTCATCTCCTCGCCTTGTCTTGTCGTTTCAATTTTTCGTTTTCTACGGGATTACAACCAAAACAAAAAATAGAAAAGTACATACCATCATATATCATCTCATTTAAAAATTTACATAGAATGAAAAAAATATCGTAGGCACACAATCTTCCATCAATATCTCGTCATGGAAATAAAAACGACAATTAACCACTCACAAGGTAGTGGGATCCAATCACACGAAAAAAATTATAAAAACAAAATTATATAACCACAAAATAGCTCATTATCTATCCTGCAATGCATGACCAATTTCATGTGATTAGGACAACATGGTGAATCACGCACGAATAAATCAGAGATGCTCCGATACCACTTGTTGGGATGTGAGGTCGAGTAGTCCAATTATTTATTCGTACGAAATTCTATACGCAAAAAAAATTACCCAGCATGCAAAGATCTACATGATTGCGGAAAAATAGATCTAGTCTAGAAATATATACCTTTATTGCGTCTATTAAATCTGACAATGGGAGAGATCACTCCGAAGTCATTTTTGGGAAAAACACACCACTCCAAAAATTATGCTATGGTCGAATACCTTAATACCAAGCTCACTTGACCTTCAAATCTTCTATTGTATTCTGGGGTTTTAATTTCACTCAATAAGGATGGGCTTATTTCTTGAGTAAAATCTAATACTAAAATTGAAGAAGAAAACTAGAGAACAACTCTCAATTTTCGGGTGCAGGAAAAATAACAATTGTATTTTTTCACATACAAAGTCTCATATACATATATATATATATATATATATATATATATATATATATATATATATATATATACGTGTTAGGAATACGTGCACGTGCACTATGCAATATATATATATTGCATAGAATTTTCGGGGTTCGAATCCGTTTAGGTGCGTGTGTAAGCCGTGTTATAAGGCCTATCTCAAAAAAAAAAAAAAAAAAGTGCCAAAAGGAAAGAAATTGATAAGCCAATTTCTTCTCTACCAAGCATAGGAGGCCGGCCCCTAGAGTCCCAAGACTCTAGGATTTTCGGCCTCTCTCTCCTAAACATATTTGGTAATTTTATTTTCTTCAATTTATTAGAAAATCTTTTGGGTTACAATAAGGAGTTAAAGGAGAAAATATTATCGGGCTTAAAATAATTTCAAATTAAATTCTTGAATTCACAAAAAAAAAAATCAATTTAATTAATTATTAAAGAATTATTTATGTTTCACTATAAAATTATTATTGACCTCCGATTAAATTTTCAAAATTAATTTTAAGCTCCCGATTAATCATTGCCTAATTACCGCTCGCATTGAGATATTCCAAGAAACACCAATTATTTTATTAAATTAAATCCAATTGGCATATTTCCATGAGTCTTACCTACTTAACTTATTTGAGATGTTGAATACAAAATCCACTTGTTCAAGCTTTAGGCATAATCAAAACTCATAAGTTACTCAAGGGTTATCCATCAATCTCATATCACATAGATGCGAATTCCTTTCGATAATTAATTTCCACCTATTAATTCTTAGTGTCTCCACCCAACGCATCGGGGTTCACTTGACTCTCTTGAGTTGTAGTCTCTCCCATTGCGACATCAAATTGAAGATTGTCAATTAAACGTGTACGTTAATTATTTAGATATTAAGATGTTAAGTAATCTTCTGAAAACCACAAAATAATATGGTTTCATATTCAACCAGTGATTAAATAATTATTTCACTTAGTTTAGTTCAACACGTGTTGGGTGTGCTAGCACGATAAGTTGAAACAATAACTACCAAAGTTATTCTCGGATTACTGTGATCAAGATAGATCACTTAAATATTTTGCTACATCTCGGATTACTGTGATCAAGATAGATCACTTAAATATTTTGCTACAATCATTTTCGATAGTTTGTACAATTCCATTAAGATTGGGAACTTATAAACTTAATATTCTAAACGAACTTTAAAAATGATCTTACGTGTACAACATCCTAACTTAACACAACATCTCAAATACTATTACACTATTTGGACTCTTGCAATTAATATATTGAATAATCATTTTTCAAATTATAGGCGACTAATAACCAAATGCAAATTCTCGAACGAATAAACTTTTATTAAAAATAAATTGTTTACATAGGAAAGTTTTAGTCTACTATAACAATTGGGAGGTCAGCTCAACACAGCCAGAACGATTCTGAAGTTAAAGAGCACTCTAAATCATTCTCGTTGCACTGGCTCTACACAGTCACCTCAACATAGCCAGAACGATAAAAAAATAATAATAAATAAACACCACAGGAAAAAGGACAATGGGGCCCACATCTAGACAATAACTGGTTCCTCAGCCTCTTCTGCCGGAGCCTCTTCTGCCGGAGCACCACTGCTACCTTCCTCACCCTCTTCTGCCGGAGCACCACTGCTACCTTCCTCAGCCTCTTCCGCCAGAGTACCGCTTCTACTGTCAAGAACCAATATCTTCCCATCAGAACCAAGGTCAACAGTAACCGAATCACCTTCTTTAATTTCACCGACACGCATCTTCTCCTCCATATTTTTCTCCAAAATGCACTTAACAAGCGGACTAGGCAACATAACCACCTCTGCCATAAACCTCCGAGTTAATTGAAGCTCAATATACTTCCCGTTCAACCTCACCTTATTTGCTTCATTATAATCCCTGAACATCCTATTGTGGATAAAACGATCAATCATGTCTGCACCCGAGTGGTCTGCGTATAAGTTAAAGAAATTAGAAAACAACCAAAACATACAATAGCATTTCTAGATATGAAATAGTCAAAATGAATGCATCAACATCCACAGAATACCAACAAATACAGCACTGGTGATCTGCTTGTTATTTCAAATAATGAGAGGCTTTTAGAATGCTATCTGCAGAGACTAATTTTGTTTCCGGGTTCAACAATGTAAACAATCTTACAAGCATCCAATTCTGTTTTAAAAGAAAACATTTTTTTTTTCAAATATCTGAAATTAAGGAGTCAGCAGGCATTTTCTCAAATTAGAATGAAACTGATATCATTTCAAACTCTAACAACAAAGGAAGCAATCATAAAGCCAAAACCACGGCGAAACTCAAATCCTATTACAATTGACCAGCACCGCAGAAAAACAATAGCTTCTAATTCGTATCATTGTGGCGGCAAGTCTAGATCTTTATAATCATCTCAAGTCTAGATCTCAAGTCTAGATCTTTAGCAAAACTCCCACTAAAGACCCAAATTTTTCCAACATAAACCCTAAATTAAACACAAGCTTCAATAAACCCGAGAGTCGCATTACTCGAACTGAAGCCAATATACGTAAAATGGGCGAAGAACAGAAATATATCTGACCTAAATGAATGGCACACCAATATCAAACAATTAAAAAAGGAGCATGGAGAAATACGGTACCTTAAAATAAAAAGAGGCCCTATGAAGTTTCGGCCGGAATTTTCCAAAACGAGGGGGCAGATCTTTGAGCTAGGGTTTCTGTGTTATGTTTTAGTGCGGGCAGATTATATATTTATATAGGCCAAATCTCTTTGCTAGTCAATTCCACTCTAGTCTCTCATTTTTAAAAGGGTTAATAACATTTTGCCTCCCGAACTTTGACGCGTTTTGCACATCACTTCCTAAACTAAAAAAAGTTGCACAATGCCTCCTAAACTCTATTATTTGGACTTTGGAGCACCGACGAACATTTCCGACCAAAACTCCACCTGAAATGCGAGTGTGCCAATCACACGTGTTTTTCAGGGGTAAAATTGTCAATTCACTTATTTATCTTATCCACCAATCATGGTCTGCCACATCATCATATTCTTCACCATTTGATTAACTAATTTTATCAGTTCACCAACATTTTCATCGTCAGACCACCGCCCCACCAACAGAGCACCAATTTTATTAACATGTATATCACCAAAATATCCAAACCCACTTCCGACACATTTGGCCAACGCATCTGACAATTTTTCCCGACGGCATTTGTCGAGCAATGTTCAACGAATGTGGTTATAAAAAAAAATAATAATAAATTGAATGTAGGAGAAAAGACTTTTGGGATTGTCTTCTTTTTCCTTGTGCTGTTAAGTGAGAATTGCAGATGGTACTGGAAATGGGGGGAAATTACGGGTGTTTTACTGAGGAAATTGACAAGAAAATCTGATGATGTTGATGTGTACTACATGGGGTTTTGAGGAAAGGATGGGCAGGATTTTGACTTTTTGTTCAGTGGGTGGGGAAGAAGAACATTGTTGGAGGATTTTGTTAACGAGCATCTTGTAATGGGTCTGAGTAGGCTCGTTCTTACCAAAAGAAAGTTCTGTAAATTACTGTGTGTTGTGTGCGTCTGTAAAGTAAGAGGCGGGAGAGTGAGATTCATCTAGACAATTGGGAGATACAATTTGGAGGAAATTGTTGGATCGATTTAAATATATAGAGTGATAAACACGCAGCGGAATAAAATCAAAGTAGAGAGGAGGAGTAGTGGAGACTGGAGAGGAGATAAAACACACACTTATATTATATTTCTCACTCAATCGACACTATTACAAAAAACTCACTCAAGACTCTTTTTTTTCTCACTAGACTTCTTCTTGTTTTTGACACACTTACAAATGAAAAACTACATAGCTATTTATACTATTTTCCTAGCATGTATCTAGACATAATACATGAACCAACAATAAATAAGATTATAACTTCCTAATTAAAGACGATAATTAAATACATGAATCAAACCAAGAGACACATTCATTGTCCACATTCATTCTCTAGAAAATTCTAGAGTCTTCAATACCTTGAAATGAATCTAGCTTATCAACTTCCAACACGCCCCCCTAAGCTTGATTCTCGCATTCCAAGTTGACTCCTTAACTTTTCGAACAACTCTCTCTTGAGGGGCTTCGTGAAGATATCGGCAATTTGATCTTCCGATTTCACGAACTTCACTTAAACATCCTTCTTCGCAATGCACTCTCCCAAAAAGGAGTCTCTCCACCCAATGATCCGGGAATCGCTTGACTCACAAAAAGGAGTCTCTCCCATTGGAATATCAAAGTGGAGACAATCAACTAAATATGTACATTAATTATCTAGGGATTGAGAGAAACAAATAATATTCTGAAAACCCTAGAAATGATATTATCTCGATTTAACATCTACGAGACGATCATTTCACTTCTTCATGTTCAACACATGCCGGGTGTGCTAGTGCAATAAGTCAAAACAATAACTACTAAAGTTATTATCCGTTTACCGTAATTAAGATAAATTACTTAAATATTGCACTACAATCTTTTCTAATGGTTTGTCCAATTCCATTAAAGATTGTGAACATTATATCTTAATATTTCAAAAGAACTCTCGAAAAGATCTTCTGTGCCCTACATCTAAGTCAGGACACCAATTCGAGTACTATTGAAATATAAGGACCATGCATTAAAATATATTGAATAATCAACAAGCTAATTAAAATGCAATTAATATCCAATATGCAATTCTCGAAAAATAAAATAAAGTTTTATTAATTTAAAAGGAAATTGTTTACATAGATAAAAGCTAGGCTTTTAGTCTACTATCCTAACAGCTCGCACCCGAATCAAGATACCACAAGCTATCTTTCTCCTCCGTCGTTGTTTTGCACGCCATTAGGGATAAGCCTTCAACTTCGTTCTTCGCTTCTTCGGCATAATGAGTCTTTTCCTCACTTGACTCATTTCGACACTCCCATGCAAAGTGTCCATATTGGTGACAATTGTAACACTCGACATCCTTCTTGTCTTGACGTCGATTGAAGCCACCTCTTCCACGACTTCTTGTTGGTCGATTCTCATGTTTAGTCTCGACATTGTTGTGAGAGACTTGTCCTTCACGACCTCTACCACGACCACGACCGCGTCCTCGACCACGGCCTCTACCTCTACCTCGAAAACGAGCTCCATCTTATTTCGGTTGGTCGGAGTGGTTCGTCTTTGCTTGAAGGGCTTGCTCTACTTCGGGCCCTTTGTTTCGCCTTTTGATCTTCTCTTCATGACTTGCAATTTGCCCAATATCTCGTTCACCTTAAGACTATCAACGTCGTTAGACTCTTCGATTACCACGACGATGTAGTCGAACTTCTCAGTAAGGGATCGAAGTATCTTCTCGACGACCCTTTGTTCTTCCATTTTCTCACCATTTCTCTCAAGTTGGTTAACGATCAAAACCACCCTTGAGACGTAGTCGGAAACTTCTTCGGAGTCTTTCATCTTCAACGACTCGAATTCTCCACGAAGTGATTGGAGTCGTACCTTCTTCACCTTATCGACGCCTTTGAAAGCATCGCTAAGAATGTCGCACGCTTGTTTCGCCGTAGTAGCTTGAGAAATTTTCTCAAAGTTACTATCATCTACGGCGAGTTGGATGATGGAAAGAGCCCTTTGATCTTTCACCATTGCTTCTTTTGCGGTCTTCTTTTGGGCTTGGCTTGCCGAAGCCAAATTCTCCGGTTCTACATATTCTTCTTCAACGGCTTCCCAAACGTCTTGTCCACCAAGAAAAGTCTTCATTTGAATGCTCCACCGATCATAGTTTTCTTTCGCGAGCTTTTGGAATGGGAAAGATGCACTTGAGTTTGCCATCGTTTTCTCTTCTCTAAAACGTGGCTCTGATGCCACTTTGTTGGATCGATTTAAATATATAGAGTGATAAACACGCAGCGGAATAAAATCAAAGTAGAGAGGAGGAGTAGTGGAGAGGAGATAAAACACACACTTATATTATATTTCTCACTCAATCGACCCTATTACAAAAAACTCACTCAAGACTCTCTTTTTCTCACTAGACTTCTTCTTGTTTTTGACACACTTACAAATGAAAAACTACATAGCTATTTATACTATTTTCCTAGCATGTATCTAGACATAATACATGAACCCAACAATAAATAAGATTATAACTCCCTAATTAAATACGATAATTAAATACATGAATCAAACCAAGAGACACATTCATGCATTGTCCACATTCATTCTCTAGAAAATTCTAGAGTCTTCAATACCTTGAAATGAATCTAGCTTATCAACTTCCAACAGAAATGGGTTAGTGAAAGGTGATGAAGAAGATGATGACGGGGAGATGGATACAATAAAATTAGTTGGTTTGACAATTTTGCCCCTGAAAATTCACGTCTGATTGGCACACTCGCATTTCAGGTGAAGAATGTGATGGGTGCTCTAAATAATAGAGTTTGGGGGGGCATCGTGCAACTTTTTTTAGTCTAGGTGGTGATGTGCAAAACACATCAAAGTCTGGGGGGCAAAATGCTATTAACCCTTTCTAAAATGCATCATTTTAGTCCCTCATTGCTAGAATGCATCATTTTAGTCCCTCATCTCTTATGTATATTGTTGGGCAAAATACCTAACACGCAAGTGCACGTATCGCAAACAAGTAGTAAAAGTGGACTCGAAAGAGTCGGATGTCGATCCCACAGGGAATACTCAAATTATCTAACCCTAAGTACCGAATTCTAACAACTATGATTTTTATCCAGCCTACGCAAGTTTGTCACGATTATGGAATCTAAATTATAAACTAAACACGAAAGCAAATAAACACGGGAAAATATCAATGAAAAAGGACCTAGGATTTTATCTTCCCCCTATGCGATAATTCTTCACCCAATTTAACCTCTATTATGCAAATTCAATTTCTGATTATTAACCCGAGACACTAATTTACTTATAACCCGCTGTCGCGTGTATTATAATTCTATTATTCATAAACGATTCACTATATGTCTATGCAAACCAATCATGAATAAAGCATTAACAACAAGTCTCGAAACTGGCTACCTAAGGCGATATCTATATGTCTACGATACCACATGCAATTAACACACTAATCCGGTGAAAACTACTCGAAGGCTCTTCTATCCTAGTTCTAATTGTTAAAACGATCTGTCGATGCAATTCTAACAATAACACATAGTAACATAAATTAGCTAAGTTCATGCACTAAATAAAATTGAATAGAAGAAATAATCGAGAAATTAAACTTGCATAATATTAGAAAAAGAGGTTCGAATCACCACATAGGGTTCCAATAAAATCCTAGATTAAAAGTTTAGCTACTCATGTTCTCGAAAAACGACATAAAATTATGAAAATACATAGATTAAGAAAAGAGAATTAATGGAGGAACTATGATGAAGATTTGTCAAGTCTTCGTCTTCGACTCTCCGTTCGCTCGCTCTTCTCGCTCTAAGATTGTGTAAAAGATCCTCTAATTCGTGCTTAGGGTTTTCCTTTAAATAGGTGTTTCACTTGGTATGAGATCCGGGTTTCCTTGTGTGATTAGAACTCCAAATTTGCTCTTCAGCGTGTTTTGACACGGCCGTGTGAGAATCAGTTCAAATCTCACACGGCCGTCTCGAATTTTTGAACCTACTGTTTGATTTCCAGCATTTGAGACGGCCGTCCCAGAATTAGGCTAAATCTCATACGGCCGTCTCAGGTCAATTTCAGCCTCCGACATGATTTCTTCGTTTTTGCCCGTTTTTGACCCGTTTTCGCTCTTTTCACCTCCGAAACTCTCGAATCTTTAAATTGCACCTAAAATACAAATAAAGCATCATTAAGAACCCTTAATTCATAAAATTCACACAAAAATCCCCGTAAGAAAGTATAAATTGAGTGTAAAATCTACACTCAACACACCCCCAAACTTGAACTTTTGCGTGTCCTCAAGCAAAAATTAGCAACAATTCAAAGCAACACAATTAACAAATGCACCTCATCACATAGATCAATGGTCGATTTTACGTTTTCAGAACTTGTAATTATCATGAAAACTCTCAAAACTTTGCAAGCTCGCAACTCAAAGATACTTATTAACTTACCATTGCTAAAAACCACAAAACATGCTCTCGCTTCAAGTATCCCATATTTGTAATCTAAAAATGGAGAAAATTTATGCTTACATATTAATATTTGACTCCAAAGACTCACCAAATTTCTTTACTCGGTTAATATCAAATAATTGAGATATTGGGATCATTGGGACTTTTTGGCTTTCAAATATTGGGCTTTTGGTACAAGGTATAAATTATGGGTAAAAGTGGCTACTCTTCTCCTTTTGATCTACATTTAGTGACTAAGAGTTGCACTAAAGGAATTTTTCACGTTCTTCTTGACTTGAGGTGTTTTCGCCAAAACTCTGCTTTTGGAATTATTACATCACCTCTAAGGACTTATTACTTACTCGATTTTTTCAAGATTTTGCTCAAGTCCTTTCCTTCCCTTCTATTTCTTCTTCTTCTTCTTCTCATTTTTTTTTTCTAATCGAAGATCCTTTCAATTTTTTATTTTTTTTTTTTTTTTTCTCGAAGAAGAAGAAGAATTCATCGTTATTCTTTTTTTTTTTTTTTTTTTTTCTCGACCATACTCCAAGGGATATATCTAAGAAACTCCACCTATTCTACCCGTTTAATCATGGCTAAATGAAAGAACACCGTTTCTACAAGGCTCAATCAAGGTTCTATGGATAAAAGAATTAAAGGTAGGCTTGAAAGGCTCAAACGGTTCAAAGAAGGCCCAAATCATCTCCCAATTGACTCAACGACTCAATACTTCACTTTGCAAATTGCTAAGGTGAGTTCTAAAACCGAACACCATATGATGTAGCATAAATTAACTCCAATTTTAAAACACAAAACTTTCAACCAAAGCAATGCATAAATCGTGATTCGTAACAATGACTCATTCCTAAGACACTTTGAATCGAAAGCTCACCAAAATTCGATCATAATCACAACAAAGCAAGTAAATTCATCATCAAACATCAACCATCTCCCATCATCATGATTCATCAATGCATTCATCTAAGCAATTTTTTTTTTTTTTTTTTTTATATATAAAAAAAAATAAACTAAATAAACTAAACTAAAAAAAGAAATCCTAAGGCATGCAAACTAAAAACAAATAAAGCACATAAAAACAAGTAATTTCCCACCCCCAAACTTAAAATTTACATTGCCCTCAATGTAATTAGCACAAAGTTCAAGGATAGAAAACACCTGACTAGTCGGCACGCCCATCGCCGGGCTGCGCTCCTCCATCTCGCTCGTGTGGACCACCGTCATCCTCATCGTCCGAAAGCTCAGGTACTGGCTCAAGGATCGGTGCCGGCAAAGGTTCCGGCTCATCTATCTCGGGTTGACCACATAGTAGATGACGTACGAGAGCTTGAAGCATTTTTCCCGACCACTTTTGTAGTGACTCAAGCGTGCTCACTCTGTGCTCTAGGGTGGTCAATCGGTTGCGAGTAATCACCGCCTCTCGCTCCATTCGTTTCTGAAATCGGCGATCCGAACTTGTGCTTGGACCTTCTTGCGGAGCGGCATCCGGAACTTGGAGTGGTGGGCCGTAAATGGGCGCCTTGAATTGGCGGGCCGCTCGGTCACTAATGGGATCTCGGATGCTTTGGTCGATATCCGTCGGTTTAACCGGAACCTTAGCCTTCTTGCATAATCCGGTCACAAGGGAAGGGAAGTAGAAACCCTTGGAGTTGTCGGTCATGGATGTCCAAAATTGATCGCTAATGATGTCGCCGACATTGACGGGAGTCCCCTTAAGAATGTAGTAGGCGAGGGCACACCTTTCTTGATTGATGTGACTCAAGGCTCGGGTCGGGATAAAGTTGGCGCATACAAAGGTGAGACACGCCTTGCCGATTTGGTGAATGCACTTCCAATCTATCTCGAAGTCAGTGTCGGTAGCACCTTCGGTCCAAATGGGTGGGCCGTCACATAAAACTTCACCGATTTGAGCTTGTGTTACTTCGTCTCGCATTTCCTCCCATTTGCGAGCATCACCTTTGAGTTTGTAGAAAGAGTTGATGGCTTTGACTCCCCAATCGACTTTCTTCCCTCGGACCGTGCTTGTCGTGCGATCTTTAGTTTGGTGGACTCGGTGGTTGGCATAAAATTCTCGAACAAGTGAGAGATTGTAGGATCCCTCCGGCTCTAACAAGGATTGCCACCCTCGTCTCATAAACTCTTGCTTCAACGGTTCGAATTGTGCCAATGTGATGGAGTATGCTCGCTCGGTGACCATTTTCTTGGAGCTTTGTTTTTGAAAGAGCTCGTCCGACCCTTCCACGCAAAATGCATCGTCATCGGGCCTCGGAACCTCGGCGGTGTTCTTGCCCTTCTTCTTGTTTTGCCCGGAAGGTTCGGCTTCCCTCAATCTCTTGGTGGAAGACATGATTGTGAGATTGCTTTGAAAACTATTAGGAGAGTATTGGAGACGATTCGACGCGGAAAATTTCCCCAAACTTGGTTCGGACAAACTGTCGAACACCTTGTGTGCGTGCTTTGAAGAACTAGGTTTTGGAGAATTTTGGAAAATCTCAAACCTTCCTTGATTTTTGGGACGGCCGTCTGGGCTCCGATTTCGCGTTTTCGACCTGAGAATTTGTATATGATTAAATTAGTTTGCATGCTTATAAAATCCTAAAAAAAGAAAAATAAAAGCTAGAAAAAGAAAACGAAAAACATTAAAATCGCGGGTTGCCTCCCGAGAAGCGCTAAGTTTATAGTCTTCAGCTAGACTTCGATTGCTTCTTTGTTCAAGCAAAAGTGACGGACGTCACTTGTCGATCCAATTCTCCTCCCCAATAATGCTTGAGGCGCTGCCCATTGACCTTGAACGATTTTCCGGTAGTGGGATCCAATAATTCGATTGCACCATGAGGAAATACGTCGAGCACGGTAAATGGCCCTGACCATCTTGACTTTAGTTTACCCGGGAATAATTTGAGACGAGAGTTGTAAAGTAGCACCGATTGCCCTTTTTGAAATTCCCGATGCAAGATCTTATTGTCGTGCCACCTCTTGGTTTTCTCCTTGTAAATTCGATTGCTCTCGTACGCATTCAACCGCAATTCATCAAGTTCATTGAGTTGAACCATTCGTTTCTCCTTACATGCGTCAAGATCGAAGTTAAGCTTTTTAATGGCCCAGAACGCATTATGCTCCAACTCAACTGGTAGATGGCACGCCTTTCCGTAGACTAATCGGAACGGAGTCATTCCAAGAGGAGTCTTGTAAGCTGTACGATACGCCCACAGTGCATCGTCTAATTTTCTCGACCAATCCTTCCTTGTGGGGCTAACAACCTTTTCAAGGATGTTTTTGATTTCCCGATTCGTGACTTCGGCTTGCCCGTTTGTCTGTGGGTGATAGGCCAATGCGACCTTGTGCTTTACTCCGTACTTGGCCAAAAGTGCTTCGAACTGCTTGTTGCAAAAGTGGGTGCCTCCATCACTAATAATTGCTCGTGGTGTTCCAAATCGAGTAAAAATCTGTCTTTTTAGGAACGCACAAACCACTGAAGAATCATTAGTAGGAAAGGCGGCCGCTTCAACCCACTTAGATACGTAATCGACGGCCACCAAGATGTACAGGTTATTGAAAGACGGGACAA